CTACTCTTTTTACCAACGAATAGTGGGATTGACCGTCACATAATAACGCCCCCACGGCTGAAAGGGCGAGCATGTTTGGGGGGACCCGAACCCGCGACCCTCAGATTGCGAGTCGAGCGCCCTATGGCCATGCCGGGCCCAACTGTATGTAATTCAAACCAAAATAAAGTTATTGTTTGAAAACTCAGATATTAAGTCAGGAGACGTTTAGATGGATGTGAAATTGATCATTCTTAGTTTATATTAAACTTATTTCTTCATTAACCTCGTGGTTTCAGAACACGCTATGACTTTCAATAGGAATTTAATTCCTTCCAGGTTTAAATGTTGATACTTTAATTTCAATTAGGGGTAAAACTCGTGCTTCGCGTACGAAACACTTTTTTTTTTTGGTTGTGGCATTTTGTATCTGAATGTATAAAGTTTATAAAATATAAAGGCAGTGCTGTGTATTTAAAATATTTAAGTGACCTGCCTAGACTACTCACGTATAAGGTTAAGTACCTAAAGTTCTGCACAAATCTGATAGCCATGCGAGGCTTCTCAATGACCGCAAGTTTAAATCTAAGTGAGTTAAATCTATCTCATAACACATAATACTCACTAAACACCTCTAGTATAAAATACACTTCGAGCTGAAGAGTCTGTTGAAAAATGGCAAACCAATCGACTTATCTAGTAAGAAACACCAGATCTAGAAACGATTTCAAAACCAGAGTATTGGTGACAAGTATTAAAACTCGGTGAAATTGATCCTAGTCCAGGTCCCTACTCAGAAGTCTGACGGTATCGATGCTCTAAGTTTCTAGAAACAAATGAACAAACTTACACACAAAACCTTAACACAAACACTGCTATGTAATGCATAGTATACTATCGACACCCATCCCTCCATTTAGCATACGGTGACGTTCGTCGTCTGCACTTCCTTACTCCTAATTTAATTTTTTGCATAGTTTAATGAAGTTTAAAAAGCTTCTCACGCACACATATAATTCTTTTAATATAGATACGAAAGCTGTCTATCAGCGTTTGGCAACATTTTATGAACATATATAGATATATTACAGATACATAAATTAAGACAAGCTCACTCTTACCTACAGTATATACAAGAGGCTAAGAATATATAAGAGCTACAAGGTTCTCCTAAATACAAGGACATAAAAGGGAAAGGGTCATAGTCTCATTTTCATTGGTTTTTGGTCTGTCTTAGTTACGTGGAGAAAAACAAGCACAAAAATACTCATTTTGTTGACACAATATATACAGGTAATTTGATTTCCTATGTAGGCATTAGATGTCAAACAATCTTTCAAAGCTTTCCTGCGATGAAGATTGTAAACTGACGGCATTTAATTCAACTATCAACTGTTGTCCGGCCATATTTAACTGAGTTATATTGTCATGACGTATGTAATCCGAACATATTTCTAGAAGTCATGTAGATATCAGGTAAATAGCCAAATCAACACATTCCTATAGTTTGTGAAATGCATTATTATTTAAATAGTTTGAAGAAATGCCTTCTGTAACGCACATAATTAAGGCATTTTCTTCCCAAGGTTATAAAAAAATGAAAAAGTTAATCAAGTTCTGTAAATCTGTGCGCTTGAAAGACATGCGACAAGAAGAAGATGAAAAAAAAAAAAAAAGACATCGAGAACGTGACAATCTCGTGTAGATGTCTTAAAATACGGCTGCCGGTGGGTCAGCTTTAAGGTTATGAACTTAAAATGCAAAACCTGGGGTTCGATTCCATGTGGTGGACAGAGCACAGATAGTCCATTGTGTAACTTTGCGCTAAAGGCAATCAGTCTTAGAATTCAACTTTTAATCAAAGTGGTGAATCCCAAGTATAGTAATCACTGTCTTACCATCACCTGTCGCTTCACTGACTTTGTTCGTTTACTAGATGTTTCTTTTGTTTTCTTTACAACCCTTGGAATTATAGACGTCGTAATATACGTGTACACACGTGAAGCCTCAATAATGATTTGAAATTAGCTGACGCATTATATCTTGTTAGAAACCTATCAAACATTTGTAGAGAAAACCGATGCATGTCAAAGTACGAATAATGCTTACATTCAGCTAATATGAGTATTTGTTCTAAGAAATTTCACTCTCATGTGATATCACATATTTAGTCTATGCTATACACCAACAAGATAAGTGGGATACCGGTTAATGAACGGTTCGTCTATTTGTTACCTATTTGTCTATTTTTTAAACAAAATAAATATTAAGGAGTTATTTTTACTTACCCTTTCGTGAAGACTTCTCAGGTCATTGGTTATGATCTGAGGTGGAGGATCTTCAACACCACATGAGCTGGTGGCATCGGAGTCGTTGTCAGCGTCGTGACCGTCGGAGTCAAAGTCGACTTTACTTAACTCGGTATCAATCTCGTCTTCCATCTGGACCAAGAGCGGCGCGAGCATTCCGAACTTTGCGCCTAGTCGTGCCACTTCCAGGAGGCAGAGAATAACGCTTTTCTCATTCTTTCTCAGCACTAAGTCGTCCGTTTCGAATCGTAGGCAATCCATGATCGCCAGTTTGGTACACCACGTGATAAAATTGGACACGTTATCCCGTGCATGAAAGGTGCGAGGCTGGACGTTACTTCGATACACCACGTCTTGATCCGGGACGGTGACGCTGAGTTCGTTCTGGCCAGATCGCCCCCACTTACGGGCCGTCCTTACAATGTGATTAGCGTGCCGACATAGGAGGACTCCCGTTTCGAGACTTTCCATGAAATTGTCAGCATTGATATTTATTTCGTAGAGATTGTTCAGCCAGTCAGCTAGATCTTCTTTCATGGCATACAGATACTCTTCACTGGACTTGAAAGGACGGAAAGGTCTCGGTTCCATATGGATCACTTGAACCTCTCCTTCTCCACAGTCTTCTTGACCATTTACAACTGTTGTTTCAGGCTTCACCATGGTATTTTTTTTCTTCTTTCAGACAGATTCACTGTAACTTTAAATACTGCATAGATTCAACACTGAAATGAGTAATATAATTTCCTTGTTAAATTCCAAAGCGGCGAGACTGAGTTCGACTTAGCCCGTAATCTTCAGTAAGTTGATAACAGTGCAGTAATTTTTTTCTAAACGCGTAGTTCTACGTCATTGTTCCTCATACTTCCACGGCACTGGCAAACACTTCTGATGACCGCCTTCTTAGCACCCTATCGTCTCTGCAACGGAGCCGTTTGACAAACAATTACTTATACTATAGCTGTTCCAACTGCAATTGTTCCGCTTGTCACATGATAACGGAGGTCGCCCCATCTATCGGCGACATCTAAACCAAACATGCAGAGAATGTTATAAAACACTAATGCATACTTATAAACACAATAAAGAAAATGGTACTTAGAAACAAAAAATTACTTAGATAGATAGGACAAATTGTTTGATACGTGACAATATGGATTCTTAATGTCTTGGGAAAAGTGCAATTCAATATGACATTTAATCTATAAAAATTATTATTACGAAGCTTCAGTGCCAAACAATATTAAAGCATAACAGAGGGAAAGGCAAAATAAACTATTAAGACTATTATCAGGTTAAGAGTCTTCTGTATTTTCAGGGTATCAACATTCAAATTGCCAATTTTTTTTTTTCTTTTTTTATATATATATAGATTTTACTACCAGTGGGGTGAAAAAAATACACACAAAAAAACTAGTTCTCTAAACTAGTTAGGGCTCTCCAGCAGTAATTGATGACATTAATCACATTATTGATGGCATTTTTTAAAATATAAATATATATATGTTTCGTGTGGTATTGAGAAGCCTGCAAACAACAAAGTCTTGGACCCACGAGCAACTGGATGCACAAATAGTCCAAGGACTCCAACGATAGTTCAAGGGTTATGTTACATAAAATTAAATTCACGCTCTATATTCTTCAAATGCTTTAAAGCCCACATACGATTACTACAAACATTTACAAACCTAGGTGCTTAGAGTTTCTTCACATGCAGCTATATTATCATTCTAAGGAGGTTGCATGGTCACTAGAGGCGCTCAACTGGAAAAGAACAACACATTTAAGTTACTGGAACAGAAAGGTAGACTAAAGCGTTCTCATATGTTATCCACTTGAATCCTTGCTTGTGCACTCCAAATTTCAATTTGAAGCTTATTCATTTCGTGATAACACGTGGTTTCCGATTGCTTAATCTATTTTGTAGTCACGATTCTTCGATTCATCTTGAAACGCTCGCCTCACCTGAATAATTTCTAACTAAA